CTTATTCTCAGTGAAAAGTTGTGAAAAGTTAAATTTTTGTTTTCTCCGGAGTAGCAGTTAGTTTAGATTAGAAGATAAATAAGATAAGTAAATGAGAATTGCACCCGACCTGGCTCTATTGTGCCCTCTCCTAAGTCTCAGCTAAGCTCAGCAATTTAATAAGATTCAATATGCTGTTAAGTGCTATTGAGGCGATGGGATCCCATTAGTAATTTGACATGGGGCATGCCTAGAAGTTGTTGCCAATGCTTCTCCGAATTTTCTGCTTCATCATTGCGAAGCCACTCCTTTATGGTGTGGGGAACGCTCCATATATGATAATCGGTGTATACGATCATAGTGTACAACCACCTGACAATCCTTGGCTTGAAACCCTAGGATCTACTAGCAAGCCGATTGCACACCATAAGTGCCTTCGTAGCATGGTCAATTCAACATGCTGCTTCCAACGCAGAATCCAGAGTGAGACCAAGATAATTGACTATATTAGTCATCTCTATCTCTCTGCCCCCAAGTGTTAAGTTCCTGAGGCCAGGCAGAGACCTGCGTCTCGCAAATGGGACAATGGTCGTCTTCAAGGGGTTGATGAAGAGTCCAACACTCCTGCACCATCCCTTGGTTAGGCTTAGTTTTCTTTGATTGATGTGGCAGAGAGCATCCTCAAATTTTTTCTCTGCGCACTGGTGCCACCATATTCCTTTTCTCCAGTGCTCTAGCTGCGCTCGTGTGGGTCGTGTTGTTAAAGGCACCTTCGATGTCTAAAAAGGCACATAACATTCCTCTTCTTCCAGCGAACACTGTGTCTCAGAGTTTAGTTGGTACAGAGCAGTATTGGTCGATTTGCCTGCTCTGTAAGCATGATGGTTCGCATGCAGGATGGCTTTTTCACCGCCTTTTACCTTATTATGTGGCCCACGATCTTTTCCGTACTCTTTAGTTAGAAGGAAGTTAGACTAATCGGTCTAATGGATTTAGCCAGAAAGTAGTTTACCTTTGGTATAAAGATTACCTTCGCTTTCATCCATGGTTCAGAGATATAACCCAGCGAAAAGCTATCTCTCATCAGCTGAACAGCCGGTAGGGCAGTAGAACCTGCTCTCCGTGTTGCAGAAGTGCTGCCGTCCCCTCCGCATTTTTTTAAATTGTGAAAACAAATCCGTAGCCCATCAGACTGAGCCCGCGTTAAACAGTTGTCCTGCGACTACGCAATCTAGGCGAGATGGCTTCTGTTCGACGATAGTTAGACACCGGTCTTCCTGAATTGTCTCCGATTAATGCGCACGCTGAAGTGTCGTAGCACTCTCCTCCGCACTGGTCGTGTAAGTTCCGTCACATCTTTTAATGGTAAGTGGTTAGCATTGTATCAGTCTTCTCCTTAGCCAGAGCCCTATGCAGCCTTGCTATCTCCGGTATTGAGGAGACGTTTTCACAGAAGTTTCTGGAATTTTACTGCTTTGCAGACCTAATCTCCTTATTGTAGACAGTTAAGTTGCTTCTATAATCCTTCCAGTTCCCAGTACGCTTGGCCTTGTTGAAGAGTTTACGTACCTTTGATATGAGTACTGAGAGTCTACTCGAACACTGCACAGCCTCTAGGGTCGCAGTCTATGTATCTCCTGGAAAGATACGACCAGCTACTGTCTTAGGAACTCTGTAAGACAGAAATAATTAAATTTGCTCCTAACTACTATCTAAGCTCGAGTTCTCACACTAAAGAGGATAGAACTGCTTTCCTTTGAGAACAAATAAAAATACATTGATCAAGATGACCTAGATCAAGAGAGATAAATGCYTCTTTGCGGAGCTACAAGGCTTGTCTATTGCTGAGCGCATGACTCAACCTGTCAGATTGCTATATGGAAGCCAATATAATGTATACAGACCTCAATTGAACCAGATATGCTCCTCCAATAGATTGTTATTCCCTAAGTTAAACTAGGAATGAAAATTTCATCGGTTAATACAAGACATCATATATGGCTTTTGGAGTATTTTACCGATATATGTATATTTTTAATGAGAGTGTACTTACATAATAACTTCGTTTCCGCCTTTTAAAGTACTGTATATGGAACGATAAGCTCGATAGCTGTTCGAACTTAATTAGGTTAGGGTTTATAGAGAAGGAAAAAAGGAATTTTTTCCTCCGAAAATCACCTACATCAACTCTAACTTTAGGGTTACTTTTATATCGTATTTAACACATTATTTTCGCTTATATTTGCAGCGGAATATCGTTTTCGTCGTGAGACCGTTTTCCTCGTACCCATGCACGGTGGCATTTGGACGCTGTGCATAGACTTGCCCATGCAGGAATTGCAAGAGCTACGAAGGCATCCGAAATTTCCACGCGGTGCACCACCTTGCGTCAATTATCTAGCCGGTTCGATGGAGAATGCACGCGGCGAAGAGCAACGCAACGATTGGCAACATAGTGAGTCCCAGACCTCATTGCAGCCACATTTAAGTACGTATGGTACAATCTATGTGTATTTCTAAAACGCACACGAAAATACAAAAACACAAAAATTTAGTATAATTTTAATTGCGAAAAAGTAAAAAAAAAAAACAAATAATAAGAAAAATTGGTCACACACACACATAGCAAGAAATGTTCTCTCACTTGCAACTGCAATTTCTACGTCAAAATATTGAACTTTCATCTTTAACAAGCTACTAAATTCAACTGTCGTACTATCTCAAGTATCTTTTAGGCAGCAACTTTACTACTCGATTACATACATACGCGAATATTTATTTAATGCATTACATCTGTAGTAATCCAATAAACCGTGCTACACAAATAATTGCATTAGACAATAGTTTCGTAATCATCGAATGCATATGTAGTCACTTGAATGCTACTCGCTGTTAGTTACATATGTAGTTAAGCAGTGTGTGCGTACATATTTACATTTTACATATAGAACAGTTCTGGGAAAAGGCGAATTTAGCTTAAAAATTCAAATTGTTAGTGAAAACTAGTTATTTCGCTTGCATAAGCGTTTTTTTCAACTGATTGCGGTAAATAAAAAATAATAATATAATAATAAAATGAAGCTTAATACACGTCAAAAATACAAAAGATGCCGTAGAACTCTTGATTTTGGTCGTTCAGCTTGTAGAGCAGCCATACGCTATGGTGGTTCGATCTGATAAGATTTTTTTCATAGATTATACCGTTATCTCGGGCAATAATCCACGCCAAATTTTGTGAAAATATCTCGCAAAATAAATTTCGGAAGCCATACTGGTTTTCACATGGTGTATGATGGTCGGGAGTAGCAGGGCCTCAAGTCTCTTCACTACTGGGTGGAAGAGATATCGGACGATAGGATTACCCTTTGTTGGCGGACTCACAAGGTTTCAGTAGTGGAACCACTCTTCCGATTTGTCTCACATTGGGTATTTGAAGAGTGGTCAGCGACAGATTTAGGACCTTGGTAAGGAAGCTTACTTCCGTCGAGCCTAGGTGCTTTAGCATCAGCATGTTTACTTCAACAATGTCAATGGATGTTGCCTTGCTGATGACACTTTGAACACTTTTGGTGAAAGTGGTGCGCAGTCTTTTGGCATTTTGCGCAGCCTTCAAGTAACATATCGTTTGACTTTGCGTCCTTAAGCATGGATAGTGCGGTGAATGTTTTCTCGTCTATCTGTTCCACCAGCTCCATCTACATACGGTCATTCAACAGGTAGGAATACCAAAGACCGCTCTGAAGGTTAAAGTCGCCTAGTGCTACAATAGTTTTCACCACGAAGTAGCGCACTTATGCTCGGGTGATATCCTGTAGGACAACATATAAATGGATGGATGTTTATATTAAACATAAAGTAATCAAGTAGTATCCCAGCGGTCGATGTCGCCATCGAAAAAACGATATTGCACGATGTTATGCAGGCTAGGCCCCGACCATTATCTTGTTCGAAATCCTTACGCATAACTTTGAAGCCTGCAAAACTCAGAAGATTTGAAAGGCTGTTTAGCTTGGTTTCTTCTCTTCTTATCTATCTGATTTTACTCTGGCGTCCGTTAAAGTTAAATTGTAAAATTCGAGTTCATCGGACTGTTCAGAATGGACCGTAGGGGTTCTTTCTTGGCCAGTGAGTGGCGGCGTATTGCGCGAACTTTCTGGAGATTGCACAGTCGTAGAGGCTAAGGTTGCAGCAGTGAGTTGGCTGCATGGGTACACGTAACTCGGAAGTTCATTTCCTGTGTGTCTAAGCACCTAACCGGGGTGGAGTTTGGAAGAAGCCTTTTAGCGCAAACGCAGCAAAGACACTCCTCTACGCCTGGGTTGGACTCAATGTCAGCACGAGTCAGAAGAACAAGGAGTAACCTTGCTGCAAGGCGTTGCTCCATTGATATCAAACTTAATGTAAAACTTACCGACCCAAACAAGCACTTCGCCGGATAAAATCCGGGTCAAATACGGTAACTTAGACCCGGCTGTCGTGGAAATTGTTAGCCTTCGTTGTTTGCTTTTGTGGCAAACTTAATTTACCCTGTATAGGGTATAAATATTCTTAGACAAAAATTGTTTTTGTATGAATATTATTAATATATTTGATTGTTTAACTTAACACTACGCATTTTTTGTTGTGTTTTCTTACAGTAGGGGACAGTAGGGTAGAAATGAGTTTGATAACAAACATTTGTGCCATAAAAAATAACAATACAATAATTAGCAAGATAGACTATTAATTATATAATTTAAGATCATATTTATATAAGTATGTATTTGCAATGTATATGCTTACAACTAAATGCTTTGTAGAGAAATTTAAGAAAATTCAACATTGTAAGTTGCAAAAGCGAAAAAACAAAATTATAAACTGGTAAGAATTGTGACTTCAATTTAATTAGTAAAAAAAACGCAAAACGTAAAGAAACAAATTCGGACTAATATAATAACAATTTGTCTTTTTGAGTGTTGCGAAAAAATAAAAAAAAAAATCTTTATCAGGTGAAGCAAAGCAAAAAATTAAAAACTAAACCAGCAAAATAAAAAAAGCACAAAAAATACAAAAAAATAACTAATTTTTAAACATTAATAAAAACTCTTCGAACAAAAATTGTGCTCTTCGTGCACATATAAACGAAATTTTCACTCTTTTGTTGCCATTAAAGAAACGAAAAAGTTCATACAATAAATAAAAAAAAAACAAGGCAGCATGAAAACATAAAATAATTAGGCAGTTGGTCGTTTGGCTGGTGACGCCCCAACCTCAGCTTCCGCATTCTCACTCGGCTTTTTGCGTTTAATTAAATGTGAAATATCTGTCGGCTTGGCTGCGCTTGAGGACGACGCGCCCACTGTTGAGGCTGATCCTGCAGCTGTGGAGGAACCTGCGCCATTTGAATCCGTTGATGCGCCAATCGGCTTGATGTAGCTATCCAACGCAGCGCGCACCTCGGCAACGTTCTAGGCAAAGAAAAAATAAGACTTATAAGTTACTATTGTTGTTGTTTATTGTGTATAATATAGCACCTGTGCTTGTGTCTCCTCGATTTCGGATATTTTCGCCCAAATCTCCTGCTTGGTCTCCTCCAAATCCTGTATTTTGTTCTTCCGCTTCTCGCTGAGCTCCTCTTCGCACTCTTGCATCTCCTTGATTTCACCATCGATCAGCTCGCATGCAGCTTTCAGCGACTCAGCGCCCTCTTTGTTCATCTGTTGCATCAAATAGGTGAGACCGATTTTGTAATGTATTTCTGCCATGGCGCGTCGATAGTTTGGCGGCATTTCACAGTAAATTTTTAAGGCTTTCACTGTATGGATGATACGATGAGAGATACAGAGAGAGACAGAAAGCAATAGAGGCAAAGAGAGTTAGAAAACCAAAATTGTATAAATGCGAGGTGCTTTTATTTGTGCTATTGTGTTTTATATTTACTGTAATCATCACGTGCCGCCTCCGGCAAATTGTTCTCGAATTCGATATTAGCCAGTTCCGTTCGCACCTCAGCCAAGTTTGACATGCCCTCTCCGCCTTGACGTGAGAAAATTTTGTCAGCCAACTCTAGAATTTCCCAGGCCAATTGCAGATTGGAAGCCTAAGGGACAAGTGGCAAAAAATTATGAAGAAATGTTCTTAAATTAGAAAAAAAAAAGAAAACAGAAAGACAGCTGTTCAAACAAATCATATCCTAGAAATCCCACAGGGAAAAAAATAAAGATTTATTTGTCAAGTTATGAAGATGATTTTTTATTTTCTTTTATTTTTTTTAGTTTGTTTTTAATTTTAATTTTTTTTATCTGATTAGTATCTGTCTCTTATACACATCTAGATGTGTATAAGAGACAGTATTTATATCGTAGTGATACATTTTGAGTTTTGACACACATTCGCCGCTGGTTGTCCAATTTTTTATTTAATTTTATTTCATTTTTATTTTTTTTTTTTAAACTGTCTCTTATACACATCTAGATGTGTATAAGAGACAGGTTTTGTCTATTTTAATTTTTTTGTTTTTGAATATCATTTTCAAATTCAAATTTCAAAATTCTATCCACCAAACCTCTCACAATATCCGCATGTACGTTGCTCCCGCCCACCAAAAAATTAATTGTTAAAAGTCTACATATACAACGCTGCTTGTGCGTTTGGCAACTACAACGCATAGCCAGCTGATTGCGCCTGACGTCAGGCACTCATTGTTTGCGACAATTCCCAAATTCAATTCAAATCATTTCGATTGCATTTGAAGTGCTCAAAACACGTACTTATTTCAAAATGAAATTAACTTCAAGTGCTACTCACCGCGTCATTATCTACATCCGCAATTTCTTCGCCAACAGCATCGCCATTTGATGTGCTTGGCTTTTCATCATCCTCAACGCGCGTTGCGGCAACAGGTGCTTTTGCCATTGAATCCACCTCCATTTCATCACTCTTCACTTTGTTAACTTTTAAGGGGCCACTCGTCGCTGGCGCCGCACCGTTACTACCATTCTTCGCGGTTGGTGATGCATCGACGGCCATCTCGTCTCCATCATCATCACCATCATCATCATCATCATCATCATCATCAAGTTCCTCTTCGTCCGGCACATCGATGACTTTGTTTTCATCCAATGCTAAGGCAATCAGGGATTTTGCATAGCTATAAATGAAAGGAATAAAAAAGCAAAATTGCTACATTTTACTCTGCTTCTGCTTGTTAAACTCGGTTTAAGTGGCACTTACAGCAAATATGGCATGCCCAATTCATTCGACTGCTCACCATACAATTCTTCATAGAGGGCACATGCTTGACTCAGCATATCGGCCGCATCGCTGTAGTTTTTTAAAAGAAAATTTCGTGAACCATAACAGTACAATTCTTTGGCTTCAAGGAATTTCTTTGCTTGTTCCAGGTCGATAGACTCGACATCGTCCTCATTTAATCGGCTTTCTTTCGCAGCACTGCCATCATCGTTGGATACTACAGGATTTTGCTCATCTGTTGACATCTTTATAAATATGTATATATTTTAAGTTTTAATTGTTGAAAATAAACTGCAATTAACGAGAAATTTATAAAAAAAAATTATTGTAGCACATACTTACACATATGAATATTATGAAATAGAATATATGTAACAAATATACATATATAGGTTAGGTTTTTTATGTATTTTAAATTGGCTGCATATGCATTTAGATGAATTTCGTAAAGCAAAAATAGTTTAAGTAACAAACAGAATATTATCTGTAGTTTTACGCTGCATCAAATTCTTCGTCGCTCAATAGTCAACAACTCAAGATTCTTCTAATCACGTAGGTTGTACCTGCAAATCTTTGAATAACTATTTCCGCATTTAGTTATATTTATAATGGCGCTTTAAAATCAATATTTCGTACTTGCTTGTAGTCATGCATGATTTATATTAGTTAATTAACTTTTTAGCCAGCCACATATGCTTATTTGATATACATATGTATAATTTTATGCAAATATATATATATATTAATATAACCATTATGCTGCCAAATCATTTCTACTAAATTCATTTCCCTTTCCACAATAGTTTCGAATATTAATTTTCAAAACTAACAGAATTGCTTCAAAAAGCATTTTAAAAATGATGAAATAAGATAAGCATAAAATTTATAATTTCATGGCAAATAATATAATAATTAATCGATCTATCTATCGATATCTTGTCAAAGGAAAGTTTTTCTTATCAGCTATGTATAATGCCGATTCCGACAAATGAGCAGTTACAAACAACAGCGAAAGTGTTGTAAAAATTGATAAATCCGCAGAGTTGATTTTTAAATCAAAAATATTTACTTGCTGACACTTTAAAACAACCAGCCAAAGTACATGAATAAATTATTAAATATGGAATATGCCGATGTATGCAAGGATATACAAAAAGCACGTGAAATAAATTAAAAACAATGTCAGCTTGCGACAGACAGTGCACTTCCATACACACATGTGTATTTTACATTTGTAGTTTTTAGTTCCTTTGATATGGTGATATTCCATCACAATCATATGGATGAGCACAACGCATTTCCTCGGCACTTCGGTTCTTCCGCCAATGTGTTGTGCATTAATGCGTGAACTTGGCTATGTCCTTCACTTCAAATTTATTATAAAAATAAGTTGTAAATATGTTTGGTGACAAGTATGTATTACAGACGCGATATTTGTGGTTACATACATATGTATATACATATGTGTATATAAATATAAAAAAAAAATGCTCTCATTTACATAAGTGTACACTTAATTTATCGAATAATCGGCAAATTAAATTGTAAAAATTATAAGAATTTTTTTATTCTATGCCAAATAACATTAAACAATTTTAAAATTTGCTTTTTAATAATTTCAACAGAAATAATGCTGCTTATTTTTGAAAAAAAAAACTTAATTCACAAATTGTAATAAGGAATAGAGTATTTCTCCTACAAAAGGCTTGGGAGTTTTTATTATAATTTTTTTCTTCTACAGAAGACTTGAGAGTTTTTATTATTCTTTTTTCTCGACATCCGTTGTTACATAAAATATACATATATTTTTAGTTTTCAATTCATATTTCAATTTCATATTTTTCATTTTACTTCAACCCAAATATATTCCTTACGTGACCTACCAGGCTTGCCAGTATTGAGCTTTTTTGGCTTGCCCACAGCTCTTTTAATTAATTTGCCATCGACAATTTTCGTCTTCGACTCCAAAGACCCGGTACGTCTTTGGTTCTACGCCAGCATTCAGACGTGGACGACCACGTTTGTGCTTTTCACCATTCACTATCGCTGCAACATTGTCATGGCTAAGACTGCCGACTTCGATTTTATGTGCATTCGAAATTATCAGCAATTTATAATTATATAATTTTTGTAATTTTTGATGATGTACCGTTACCTTGGACAATAATATATAACAAATTTCGCGAAGATATCCCGTCAAATAAAAAATTTTACTATACAAGAACTTGATTTTTATCGGTTAGTTTGTGCGGTAATCATCTTTCACAGTGGTCCGCTATAGGTGATTCCAACAAAGGAGAAAGTTTTGGGAACGAAAGGACGTATGCAAAATTTCATATTGAAATCTCAAAAACATGAGGGACCAGTTCTTGTATATACCCAGAATCATAGGGATATGACTAAATTGAATCAACTCAATTCCCTTTTAATGTATATATGGTATTTACGTATGTACATATGTATATACTTTTTGAATGCTACGAACATCGTGGCAAACCTAGTCCCAGCAAATTGATGAATTCCAAAATACTGCGAGGTGCTATTGAGGCGACGTGATCGGTACTTGGAAACATGACTCCAAGATCCTTTATCCTGAACCTACAGACTGCTGCGCAGTCAATTGGCAAGTGTTCTGGAGTTTCAGACTCCCAAGTCGCAGAACCGGCAATTCGCCGCCGAAGCTAAGCCTTGGATCTGTGTAACCCCAACAGCACTACCATTTTACAAAACTATTTGTGATACTTTGTAGTCAGCTAAACAACAACAATGTGTACATTTCCTTGGCAATTTGTTTTCATATTTCATAAAAATTTGTTTAGCGCACAGCTTAAGCTTTTTATACACATAACCGCACATCTACTTAGATAACGTTACAATCATATAAATACCTAAACATATTATATACTAACAATAATTACAATAAAATCAGAATTTTAAATACGCTTTAAAAGTAGTTAACATTTCATATAGTAAACCATATTTTTCAAGCTGTGCAAATATTACTTGAATTTCCTACATAACCTTAAACCTTTATCTAACAAACAGTTTTAAATGAAATTTCGCTTACATAACAGCACAATTAAATATTTAATATAACTGTAATTTTCCATATATGTACATATAAACCATAGGAATGCAAAACTTGTCAATTTCCTGCTCATTGGTGTGCCTAATTATACTGGGCAGCGCAGCATTGGTGGGCGCGTTCGGTGTTTGCCAGCGTCAAATAAGCGCCATACTAATCACAGGCGTCATGTATCTACTAGCGGGTAAGTTGAAAGCGTAGAAAGACACTACCCAAGGAAATAGTATTACTGCAGACAATTTTATATTTAAAGGCAACTGTAACTTATTACTTTTTTGCTTGAAGAAAATATTTACATATGGATGTATGTATGTATATACTTTTTGATTTTCTTATTGCAGCACTCTTTGCGCTCTTCACGCTTATGATTATACATTTTAAACGGCAACAAGGACGTCCCATGTTGGATAGCGACTATGATGGCACCGTTGACGGTATTGTGGCGCGACCGGGCGGCGTAGCAATTATGGCTAAACCCTTATTGGGTGCACGCATATTTCTGACATCATGGAGTTTGGATTTGGGTTGGGGCGGTGTTGTCTTGTGCGGCATAACGTCAGTGTTATGGATTTTGCTGTCGAAAATTATGCGTTACAATCCATTTTCAGCGCTAATGATTTAGTCGTTGGAGGTCGTCTAAGGTCGCACAAGGCCGTGCAGGCGTTGGAGGTGCGTATCAAGTGACAAAGCGATTATAATTGCAAGCTTACGCATGGAAACGGTCGAGGACTTCGTCGAAATGTGTACGTGTACAAATAAATGTACGGGTGAAATATTTTAGTAAATCCAGCGAATTACAAAGCGCTGCACTTGGTTAGTTACGCAACGTAATTAAAGTGTAAATGTAACTTTAACTGTTGAACAAGCAAACATATGACAGGCACAAAATAAACTGACTAAAATAGTGCTGCTTTGACAAATAATACGAGAAATAACTCTAAATATTAATGTAATATTTCTACTAGTTACATAAAAAATATAATATTTATAAAAATTAAATTAAATAGTTTATCCTCATTTACAATTGTAAACCAAAGCCCGCACATTTCATGATAGCTTTTATATTTACTCTAAAAATCAGTAGTTATTGCAATTTATTTAAGAAAAGCTTTATACAAGAATTTTAGGTCTAACATATATGTATATGTGACCTGGTCTACGAAAAGGGAGCTAACGTGCGAAAACTTGTTTATGACTTTTTGAATTGTATCACGTGAAAAAGCATCTCATCTTCCATCCGAATCAACTAATATTTTTTGACACCTAAGCCTCCTTTCCGTAGACCAGGTCACATATGTATTTATGTACATATATAGGGTGCGCTAGGCATTTGAGTATATTTGTAGGGGTATATATTACATAAATTTTTTTCTTCAGCTTTAAGTAAGAGATTTAAAGCGTTCAACCCTCTATTTGACAACATTTCTATTCTAAAGATCAGATTCAAATAGTACTTAAAAATAAATTCTAATAATTTTTGATATACTTGAGAAACAGTTTACGGTTCGCAAGATTTTAACTACATAAAACAGTTATCTGCTGAATAATAAAGACAATGAGAGTAAAAGTCTTCCATGCGACAAAAGTTGTAATAATATGGGCATGTCTCATTTCAAACGCTTTCCAAAACTGTAGAATCAGCTGATAAGGCTGTCGTTGTTGTAGTTTTGGAGTTCGAAGCTAAAATAATGGCTATAAATCCAAGCCAGTGTTGCAAATTTTATAATTTAAAAGTTGTGGATATAAATTCGATTTTCATTTTTGTCAATTTTTTTTTCACAAATTAAGAGTTGAAGTAAAGCTAGAAAAATTTATATATTTCTTGCCAAAAAGCTATAATTAAAAGTAACTAAATATAAATAAGACAAAGCCGCTAAACTATGTTGATATTTTATAAGGTTGGGATAATTTGGTAGGTCAATAAGCCAAACATAGACCAGTTTGGTCCTTTACGATAACAGATTGAGTTCACTTGCTAATCATGCCGTAGATACCCCAGATTCTTACATCATAGCCTTGCTAATACTTGGCAAGTGAGTAAGAGATGCGCCATTGTTTTCCTAGTGCCCTGCTCTAAGCATTTCCTGCAGTCTTCTCGATCTGTCAGCTTCATCTTGCGGACGTGTGTCGCCACCAGACAGTAACCAGTTAGTATTCCTTGATATTTTATTAAGAATAAGTTTAAAAAAATCCTCGAAGTTGCCTTAAGGAAGTTTTTTTGTCGCTACAACAACAATAACACGAAGTACCCCAAAATTATAAAAACAAATCTTTCTTTCAAAAAAAATTATTTTAAATCGATTTTTGGGGATCTTTGAATCCGGTACTTGGAATTAAAATTTTTTTCTCTTATAAACATACAAATCATTTTCAATAAGTCTTCAAATGAAATTTAATTATTTTATTTAATCCTTCCCAATCCAGAAATTCACAATTGTTTATGTTAGCTTGTACTCAAATACCTGCTGCACCCTTATAAGCTCGCTTTGTTATTTAATATGCCTATAATTGCTGCGGAATAAAATGTAGTAGCATCTAATTTATGAATATGCCCTACAAATGAGTGTCATGCACAAAATGTCTTAAATTCTATTTAATAAAGTTCAACTTTTTTGATTCAATATAAAAGCCACGCTTATATTCTTATGTATGTATGTATATCTACATAACTATTTTTTTACAAAAAGATATTAATATGAATAGAATTTACACCTACAGACAACTGTCTAAACATGCATATGTATATTTACAAAGATATGCTGAATAAACCGATTCACTTATGTAAAAATTTACTTTATACAGAACAAATGTGCGTTAAAAATATAATTATTTAATTTTACACTAAGTCATAAGAGTAAAAAAAAAAAAGTTTTTCTATAAAAAAATAAAATGCACCTTTAAAATGTTATAGCTCTGCTTGTAGCCTTAAATTAGGCAAATTGTTAGTTAATTATAATTATTGTAGAAAAAAGCTAACTATTCAAAACATATGCAGCTAAAGTCTGATTAAGACTCAACTACCCGCCAATTGAAAAAAAAAAATCTACTAACAAAAACCTTTCGCCTTTAACACAACTCTAACAGAACCTAACCAAAATTAAGTATTTATCTTCCATATTTAAGTTTGCCGGTTAATGACGAGATTTCTTTACGAAATTTAGCACGATTTATTTTCCAAACCACCCGAATAAATTGTGCAGATCGGAACACTAATGCTTATAGCTACCATGCAATCCAAATGAAGATTAAGATATTTTGTATGTCCTTCCATGCTTTAAGAAATGCAACTGTGAAGGGTATTATAGCTTCGGTAACCGAAATTAACGATTTTTATTGAAAGCAACACTAAACTGATTTTTCAGTATTAAGTTTTAATATTAAGATTTATTCCAAGCAAACTTCTTTAGCTTGATGTTTTTCATTTCTGATTTTTGAATAGTAAAAACAAGTTCCAACAGAGCAACATAAACCAAAAACAATAAACAAACACACATTTCTTCAAAAATATATCAACAATAGGAATAATGCATTGATGGATTGTTTTCAAAACAAAATTATCCTTATCGGAGTTCAAGAAAATGCTTTATCAAAAAAAAATATTAATAATAAAACAATACAAAAATGCTAATGAAATTACGTAACCAGCAAGAAAATGGCAAATAAATTGTAAAATTGTAAAAAAAAATAAACTACTTTTACATATGCATATATGTTATACTATGTAAGTGCAATATACATATGGTATGTAATGTATTGAAAATTATATATTATATACTAGAAGCTACATTATTTTTATGTAAACGCTTTGCCTTAAAATTTAAAATTATATTAAATACAAAAATTAATAAAAAAAAATCTATTTAAACAGCAGTTGGTCGTTTAGTTTTCCATATTTCAGGTAAGTAAATTAATTAACCAACTAGTTTATTATTTGCAAGCTGCAGACATTGTGTCTTTGTGGTAGCTATTTTAGATATTTGATAGTATGTACAACTTTGTTCAAAAACAAGAAAAAAGTTAACTTCGGCTGCACCGAAGCTAATATACCCTTCACAGATGCATTTCTTTTAGTAACTATGTGCCCAGTTTGTATGGAAGCTACATATATACTATAGTAATCCGATCTGAACAATATTTTTGGAGATTATATTGTTACCTTAAGCAGTAATCCATGCCAAATTTCGTGAAGTTACCATGTCAAATGCGAAAGTTTTCCAATTGTTCAGTTTGTATAGCAGCTATATGCTACACCTACCATAATTGAGCAGAGCACCGTTATCGCACCTATCACATATGTTTGTGAGGTCAAGCACTGCGATTTGTGCATTTACATATCTAGTTTTCTATCAAAAAGTGACAAATTTCCTTAAATTAATTAGCAATAAAACGTTATTTGCAGAAGAAAAAGTTTTTAAACCTTTTGAAAAATAATAAAATCCTTAAAAATTTTACTGCTTTTTCCGAAAGGCCCATAGCCAAACTTGTTCATGAAAATTACTTCATTATTCACTTTAGACCCCGCATACTAAGTAATACTCAAAACACTTTATGAATATGTTACAACAACAACAGACAATCTTATACATGTATTTTCATTTCAAGAAATTACTTCTCATTTAATATTCTTACTATAATTTTAATATTTGTGCATTAGAAAATTACCATTATTATTTACAAGAATGCGAAATGTGTCAACCAAATATAAAACGAACCTTATCCCCTTTTAAGAAAACCTGCTTTTTAGAGAAAATTAATAAGTTCATTGAAGATCATATGTGGGGTTCATCACCATTTCATAAATGCGAATGAACTCCATACGTTCCATTGGAATTATTTTTACAAACGATTTTTAAATGCATATATTACGAATATTCGCTGTTGATGCCAGAAACAGATGTTAAAAGAAATAAAACTCAAATTCAGTTGCATCGAAGCTATAATACCCTTCACAAATACAAAAATTCCATACAACCCAATCCGTACTCATTTCGTGAAGATAAAAAATTTTGATTCCGACAAACGAGCACCTTTTTGAGGAATAAATGACAGACAGACGGACAAAGCTAAATTTATTTAGCTTGTCAAGCGGATAATTTTTCTTTTTCGTCTGGATGTTACAAAAGTCGATTTAATATACTCTATTCAGGGTATAAAAAAATATATAAATTAAAAACGTGTTTTCATGCCTTGTGCAAGGTCGATACACCGCTATTTTTTGCAAACAAATGAAACATTTTATAGGTACAAGTCAAATTGCATATATTATATGTATGTATATACTAATTAACAAATAAACATATAATATATGCAAGTTTTAATTAACTCAAATCATTAATGATATTCATGCGCTATTTAGTTTAGTTTATTCTTTTAATGTGCCATTTTAAGCAGCACGGAGCGTAATGTAAGTTAAGGCGGGTAAAATCTATATAACAAATTCGYCCGCCAATATCAATGTTTTGGATCGCATTAAAAATACACATTGCGCGAACATAGGTAGGTATGTATGTAAAAATATGCAGAGCTAATATGCAAAAGCAAAATATAAAGGGAAATCCAGCTGCAGATTACTAAACGACGTAGGAAGGTTTATTCACCCACACCACCATCAACTCCCCAGCGTGCTAAGCTCTGCATTTCAAGAATCACACATTTCCCATTGTAATAGCAAAATGCACAAATTCACACATTACATGACTACTATTATTTTATATTATGATGTCAACTTATTAATCATAAGTGAAAACAAATGACACAAAACGCTTAGTGGCCACACAACAAAAGTCTGCTGCTAAACTAAATCCAATGCTTACCTTTGTAAAAACTGTTTGCGGTCAACTGTTAAAACTACTCTCCAATTATGATATATTTTTATTAAATATTGTGTATATTCCAATTAAAAGTATGCAAATGCAATAATCGTCCGCACACTTAAGTTTTCGTAAGTATAATGGAATCTGAATGCGTTTTGATTACTGCTGGCCAAAATGCCGCTTAATTCCGTTGTTATGTGTGAGCTGGCGTTCTTCTCTTTCGTACCTTTTATTTAGCATGCTGACAGCTGTTTGTATAAAAAGAGATAGAAAGCATGTGTTGTGAAAAATTTTGCGCGCGACGACTGTCTGTCAATTGCACTTTATCATTCGCAATAAGCGAAAGCATTCCAAGTATTTCTTATTGCCACCGGAAATGCACTTATTGCATTGTTTTTTTTTTTTTACTTTTTTTGGATATACAGTGTAAAACATTATGGCCTTCTGGTCAACTATTGCAAAGTACTACTACACAGTCTTCAAATTGTTAAAAAATTATATAATATTTAGTAAATAAATAGTCTTGTAATCTATAAACTTTTACTTAATTCGTATACATACTTAAGGACAAATTTAAAAATTGTCCTTGCATCCTCCATAAAAATAAACGTAGTTGTGTTACGTGTTTACGTGTTACGTGTGTTTAAAATTTCCGTTGTGGGCGAAGGCATGAGACGGAGCTAAACAAAATATAAACAAAAACCATTAAAACAAGAAATTCTAAAATTAAGATAATTTTTTTCAAAGAAGCTTAAAAATATTCTGGTGGATATATACTATATACAAAAAGAAGTATGTTTAAACTATTTCTATCGTAATTGAATATTCAGCGAATGTTTGATCTATATCGTTCATATGAGTTTCCAAAATTACATTTTCTGGATCAATTATGTTTTCTGGTGCAGTTACGCTCTCTGATTCAATTATATTTTCTGTTTCAATAAAGCTTTCTGTTTCAAATAAGTCTTCAGTTTCTATTACATTTTCAGTTTCAATTAAGTTTTCTGTTGCAATTATATTTTCTGTTTCAATTAAGTTTTCTGTTTCTGTTATATTTTCTGTCTCAATTAAGTGTTCTGTTTCAATTAAGTTTTCTGTTGCAATTATATTTTCTGTTTCGTTTATATTTTCCGTGTTAATTATATTTAATGGATCAATTATATTCTTTCTTTCCACTATATCAATTACATTTTTTGTTGCAGTTATGTTTACATCTTTTTTCGGGTCGATTTTATTATTCCAAATCCATCTCTGTAAAGTACGCACTGATGGCATAGGAAAACCATTATCGTAAAGCAACTTATATGTTTTGCCGCTTGATCTATATAGGATTAAGGATTTGGCAATATCCTCTTCATCCCATTGATAATTAAGTTTTAAGGATTTCATTTTGTTAATTTGCCCACTGGTGAAAATAGAGTTCAGCTTTTCCTCTAGATTTTTACATTCCTGAGTTTTATTTTTTAATCGCACATTCAATCTACTCAACCTGTTTGCATAACGAATATCCTTCTCTATATTTAATCTCTTCCACTTTTCAAGCTTCTTACACAGTCCCTTATTGATTCGGCGCTGACAAATATTATCCTTTCGCAAAAGTTTACTGTCGGTACATAAAATAAATTCATTTATATAAATTTTTTATAGTTAGCTAAGAATGAATGCACTTACATTTGTTCCCGTAGCTCATCCACTTCCTCAAACACGTTAATAGGATAGTCCCTTTGGTTCCCCATCGTCACTTCCTCAAACTGAACTTCATTGTGGATATAGTCTTCAGATATTGTGTTGTCTTTGTCATTACTTACGGCAAAGTCCGACAACTTATTTTTAATACCGGTTTTAACTGGCCTCAAACCTTTGGTGGCTCGTGTGCTGCATATTTCGTCAAATACATTTGCAACAAAATCTATTTGCTCTACGGAGTCTTCTTTATCATTTGTATTGTCTGCAACTAGCCCCAAGCCTTTGGTGGTTTGAGTACTTATTTCATCATATCCATTAGCAGTTAACTCTATTTGCTCTACGGTGTCTTCTTTGTTTGTAACTGGCGCTGGTCCTTTAGTGGCTTGAGTGCTTATTTCGTCAAATCCATTGCTATTTGTATTGTTTGCGACTAGCGATGAGCCCTTGGTAGATTGAGTGCTGCATATTTCGTCAAACTCACTAGCAGCTAACTTTATTTTCACTAAAATTAAGTCAAAGTTATATTTATTAAATATAGTTGATTAATAGTATTAAAGAATACCTTTCTGTTCCTGGTTATACTTTCGTAAAAGATCATTGACAATTTGTTTTTGGTTCCTCCGTTGAATACGTAGCTCCCGTATTGTTTGTCCAGTCGATATTCGCCGGATAGTGGGCACCGCATCGCGCTTTATTTTCAGTCGCAGTGCAAAACCTTAATATATTATGTAAACTTCAGTGCAAATAATGTTTTTGCATTGATTTAAAAACATATATTTACCCATTTTAAATTGTGCAATATTTAGGAAGTCGTCGTCTTTAAAGTGGTCTCTGCAAATAAACTTACTCCGATAATTAAAGTCTTTCGGTTGCTGGCAAAATAAAACCCATTTATGCGCAACAGCTGCATCGGTTGGAAAACCATAGAAGGTTTTTTTCAATGGATTTTTCATATAATCACTGCTACAGCCCACCACTGAACATTTCATTTTTAAATTAATGCACTTTTATACGCTGATTTCCTAAATAAGTAGCTCTGCGGCTCTTGTTTATTTTGCAATTCCTCTTCTTGTTCATGACGTCATTCACACTGTTAAATCTGTGGTGATAAGTAAGAGCAAAGCCGTCGCTTTTTCAGCTGTCATTTCAGACAGTAAAAATGTTCTAGTTTTCCTGAGGTAATTTCGAGGTGCCGACTTAACAGCCCTTTCTGCATAAAACCCGGGTCCGTTCCGATTACTTAGACCCGACTGACGTAGAAATGTAATTGTCTCAGCTGTATCTACGAAAATGCAACACCAACCTGTAAAACAGAATTCTGATAAAAAATTCGAATATATTGCGTATGCTTAAAACACATTTATTTATTTTAATTTTAAATGYTATAAATTATTTCGCACTAACTATTTTTCATAAATTATTTCCGAAGAGCCTCCTGTGTCCGTTTCTACAATTGGCGATCGGGCGGATATCGTAACTGTCGTTGTTGTGCCGGGATTGTAGAGACCCATATCGGCATCAAACAAAATTTGTGCAATTTGATGTTCTATTACATTTTTGACATGATCACTATATTTTCGATGCTTTGTAGAAATATATTCTCCGAATATATCACTAGCATCTCGCCTTTTAAATTCGGCAGCGCTCCTGTTAATACAGCAGGAGTTTGTACTCTCTTTTTCTTTAGTCATTGCAGGGTGCGTAACATCAAATGCATCACTTCTTCTCGGACTTTCCTTCTCATTTGGTCTTATACGTTTCGAATTAACCTCGTAGGAGTCCTGACTGTGAGAACTATCTTGTTGTAATATTTCATCCAAAGGTTCATGATGCTACAAAAGTAATTTTTATACCATTATTTCCACTATTTTAATACATACATACATACTATATCGTGCCTGGGCCTTCTATCAAATGATCTGTCAGCCATAAAACTCATCGCATTAAACGCGAACCACTTTGAAATATACCCCTTGTCCGCATGAGAACCGCTTAAAGCTAATTCATATTTTTTACGCTCTCGACGATATGAAGCAAGAAGCGATTCCATCTTTTTCTTAGTCTCAACGGCACTCCTTTCCAACTCATCGCTGATGTTATTCCATGCCCTGTCTTTAACGTTACTTTTCTTATAGTTTCTATCCTTAGGATCCCAGAGGCAGCGATTTTTTTTAAAAAGCTCAATGAGTCGTAACAGCTTTTCTGTTGGCCAATCCATAGGAGAAATAAACAAAACAAACTTGTTTGTAAACAAAATTCTTGTCAAATTTACTTTAATGAAGAATTTTTCGTTCAGCACTAAAATATAGCGAACGAACAAAAGTAATTTGTTTTTACAACTGACCATTCACAGTAGACACTTTTTATAAAATATAAGTAACCCTACAAGACAAGTGACAATCAATTTGCCGATAATTTGACAGTTATAACTGAAAAAATTTGTCAGCACATGTAAAAAAAATTTTATTCGACGAAAGGGTGTAAGGATTACAATCATATAAAGTTAACCAGATATTTTCAATCTTTATATTAGGCATATGCTCAAGGGGTAGTATTGATTAGATTTTTACCAATTTTTGGTATTACGGAATATCATTATCAGAAAATAATATTCCTTGAGTTTCATTACGAAACCTCGAAGAATGACCAAAACAWGTACATAACCGTAACGGACCAGGGTTTTAATGCAGCATTAGAAAAACATATTTTCCCAATCTTAATAATGTACAGATTGATCGTTTTTTTTCTGTTAAAAGTTATCAACGCCCAATGATTCATTTTTGTGATTCGTATAATTTGTTTTATCTATTGTGTAATTGTGATTTGAGGAATAAAAATTAAATATTCAAATTTTATTAATAAATTTAATTAAATTTTATGTATTCAAAACTTTTTATATTAAATATTCGCAAATGTCGATATAATTTATTGTTATACACTAACATCTGAAGACATTTCCTTGAAATTGACGCACCCTAGTGCAAAATAAAAGGTAATATAGAATTATTAATGCATCCATTATTTTCGAATGCAACGCTACAATTCTTTTGACATTTTCTTTCCAATCATTTTCAGTGGATTCATACAAAAGAACTTATAAACTTTTCAGTGGAGTTAAAAGTGTAAATTTAATATTTTGTGCAGCAGTTTGTTACAGTTTTTTACACGCGTTGTGCGTGTTACTTAAATGATATATATTAGAACTTGAATCCGTAGACAATATAGTCCGTAGTCAGCAATAGGTACTGAAATTGAAATTGATTCGTGGCCGAAATTGACAATTGTATGACAGACAGTCATTCTCCTTGCTGCCGTTGTATTTGTACTCTGTTGTTCCTTCGCTCTTTCGGTGTTTTGTGGAAAAATCGACAAGGATCTCTTGTACCTGCACCTGCAACTGCAACGAGGTGCTACATTAATAGCGCTTTAATTTAGTATTAAAAATATATGTTTTCTGGTCGACAAAAACAACTGTGAAGCTCAAAATATCCGCATAGAGTTTGTCATCAATAAATTGCCAACTTTAGGAGACGTAGTGAGAGTCATCATTTTAATTAAGTATACTATATCCTAATAGTACTTTAAACAGAAAAAAATCAAATGGCCGAACGTCCAAGTAATCTTTTTGCAGGTTAGTCAAGCATAATTGATAATTTGATTGAAATTATATTTGTATTATATTTCATATAAATAAAGCTGGAAGTAGCCGTCCTCGCAATCCGCCAAGTGAATTGAATTTGGGCAGTTTTAATGGTCGCCAACCGCCTTCATTTTCTTCAACTTCATCCGGTTCAGCTTCGTCCAATTTGTCTACATCGTCAGCCTCCAGTTCCTCTTCACACAATTTGGTGCAACGATTTTGTGCGCCACCAGCACCAGCACCAGCACCAGTAGTGGCACCGGTAGCACCGCCGGTTGCAACAACAAACAATCAAGGTAAATATAAAAACAAAACCAATTTTTTTTTTAACGGAGTTATATGCTATAGTAGTCTGATTTAGAACATTTCATTGAATATTGTGGTGTTGCCTTGAACTGTAACCATGCCAAATTTCTTGAAAATATTTTATGAAATAAATTTTGTTTTTGAAACAACAACTTAATTTTCATCGCTCAGTTTGTACGTTAGCTATATTGACTTATGTAATTATAGCACTCCAATTATATTTAATCACTTTTACAGAACGCACCCGTGAACGCATAAAACAACAAGCCTGTGGAAAGCTACTCATCGATGAAGAATGCTATCACTTTACTTCGGATGATTTAACTGATCTTGGCGAAATTGGTCGTGGTGCTTTTGGCACTGTAAACAAGATGATATTTAAAGCAGGCAAGGTAATGGCTGTGAAACGCATACGATCCACTGTCGATGAAAAAGAACAAAAACAATTGTTAATGGATTTGGAAGTGGTGATGAATTCAAACGAATGTCCCTACATAGTACAGTTTTATGGTGCGCTCTTTAAGGAAGGTGACTGCTGGATATGCATGGAGTTAATGGATACCTCTTTGGATAAATTCTACAAATACATTTACGAACGTAAACAACAACGTATACCAGAGTCAATATTAGCTAAAATTACTGTGGCTACTGTGCAAGCGTTAAATTACTTAAAAGAAGAGTTATCGATCATTCATCGTGATGTTAAACCCAGCAATATTTTGCTGCATCGCCGTGGCGATATCAAGTTATGTGATTTCGGTATTTGTGGAAAATTAGTGGATTCAATTGCGGAGACCAAGGATGCCGGTTGCAGGCCATATATGGCGGTAAGTTTGTATTAGTGTTTAAATATGTGATTGCAGTTATGAAATTGTATAAATTTTTTTCATAGCCTGAACGTATTGATCCCGAGCGCGCTAAGGGCTACGATGTACGTAGTGATGTCTGGTCGTTGGGTATAACGCTGATGGAGGTCGCTACCGGTTTGTTTCCCTATCCGAAATGGGATTCAGTTTTCGAACAGTTGTATCAAGTGAGTATATTGATATATGTCAGTTATTTGATTTTGAATGGGTGAGCTTCAGAGGTTTTTGCTGTTGAAATAGCATAAAACAGAATTAAAAATCTTGGTGGGAGATGCTGCTGTGCTTCTTGTACTTAGGCGCATATAAATTTGTACTCCATTTCGGTTTTCCGGCTGTCTTTATAAATCAAACGGTGGGAGAATATAAGATTTATTGTTTATTTCATTACTTTTCAGGTTGTGAAAGGTGATCCCCCACGCCTGCAGACTTCCTACAATGGCATGGAGTTCTCACAGGAATTTGTAGATTTTGTGAATACATGGTAAGCAAAAGCAAAACTGTGTAGATATATGTATTAATTCTTATGAAAATTTCAACTCGCTAGTTTAAACAAAGATGAGAGAGAACGACCCAAGTACGGTCCATTGCTGGAAATGCCTTTTATATTGCGTGGCCAGCGCAGCCACACCGATGTAGCTGTCTATGTAACGGATATTTTAGAGAAGATGGTCAAAGATGGCATAACCGAGTTCACAACAAATCAGCCGGCTGAAAGTTAATGGGCATTCCAGCTAATGTATTAAATGCCATTTAACGTTTTTAGCAATGCAGAGCGATGGTAATGTGAAATTTTGATAGATTTGATAGACAGTAACGTTAGTAGCAGAATGGTATGCAAATTGTAAGCAAAATGTGTGTGCGTGATTAATTGTTGAGACACCTCCGGTTAGCTGTTGTGTTGCTAAAACAAAATTTTACGATGTATAACAAAAACAAAAAAAAAAAAAAAAAAACAATAAATAAGGAAGATTCGGAAAAAAAAATAAAAACATGTCAAACCTATTATTTAGTAGAAAGTGAAACATAAAATAGTACGATAAGCAAACACTTAACGCTTTGCATAGATGTTAGTCATAAATATTTTGTTGTTTAGGATTGTAAGAAGAAAGCGTTTATTTTTTTAGCAAAACGAAAATAATAACTATTATTTTTTTTTTGTATACAATTAAGTTCATATTAGCACTTTTGCATTGTTATGTCATACGTTGCTGTTCATACTTGTGTTGTAAATGTAACGCTTTTCTAAAGTCAACATAATTTGCGCCTTCGATTTGAAAATACAAATACAAAAAAAAAAAAAAATAATATTAATAAAAACAGAGTAAATTTTCTAAGAAAAGAAACAAAAAAACAAAAGTGAAGTAAAACTAATCAAAAAACTAAAAAACGCTGTAAGTATTTGCAATAAATACGAAAATTGCATTTTATGTAAAAGTAATAATATATAACATTTATATACACATTTACATACCCACACGCAAGCATCAAAGTATTTTAAATATGATAAAATAATTGTTTAGCAATTTGGGTAGAACTCGTAAAAATACTAAAGTAAAAAAATAAAAAATACTGCAAAAATACCTAATAATTAAGTAGAATATCGATCATGAAATATAAAATGTGTAGAGTATTGTAAGAATCAGGGTTGCAAATATTTTTTTTTTTACAAAATTTTGGTATTAAAAATGAATTTTCCAACATTTAATTCGTATTTTGAAAATCGTATTTTTAGTGCATGGTGTTGGATTACAAATGAAATTAAAATTTTTTTAAATACATTTTTTAATTTTAATTTTTAAATTCTTTTTTATTTTTAAATTTAATTTTTAAGCTTTTCTAGATGTGTATAAGAGACAGATCAGTATTAAAAAAAAAAATAAAAATAAATTTTAAAGAGATTTTTTGCAAATTAAAAAAAAATTATTTATAATCCGGTTTTTAGGATTATTTTTTTTTCAATTCGTTATTTGATATAACAAATTATTTTTAATCAATTCTATGTTTAATTCAATTATATTTTTAAAGCATTAATTGCAACCCTGATTGCAAGCATGCATAATTATGACATTACAAAAAAAAAATTAAAATTTATTTTTCAACTGAAAATATGCCGTAAAAATTATACAGTTAATTTAAGCCAATGTGAAATGTTCAATCATAAGCAATAACTGCGCGCTATTTTTTTAAGTGCATGTATAATTATAAGATACGAACCGTAGTTGACCCAACAATGCAGCAGCAAATAAGCCATATACATAAGTGTGCTACTCACACAATACATACATACAAGCCAATTTAGGCCAAACACACAGCGCGTAATATTTCTGTGAAAATACAAAAAAAACAAAAACAAATAGCAAATATAAGTTAAAGTTAAAGAATCAACATAAAAAATAAGCTAACCTAAAAATTTTGTTAAATCTAGTAGTGGCTTGTGAAAATACATACCAATAACGATACATACACAATTACATGTAGCATATCCCAAATAGTAGCCGGCATACAAACATTTACTAGTAAACACTATATAAAAATGAAATAAAATACAATAAATAAAAGTAAATATCAATGAACTGCGCAATTTTTACTTTGCCATTGGAGCAGATACGTTCGAATTGGTGACAAGAAAACTTGTATTATTTTTTATAATTCGCATTAGCAGTGATTTGCGGACTGAAGTGATTTTAATTAGGTGAATTTTATGCTTGTAATATATTAGTAAATACATAATGTGTGTATATGTATAAAAACAACACTAACAACAAAGAAACAGGTAACAAAAACGCATAACACCACAGATATTTGCAATAAAATTATTATTCTTATTAGTGTGATTGAAACCATAACCATAAATACATAATCGAATGCTTATTAAATCGGTTAGTGTATTGAAAATCAAATAATAAATAATACTGATTAACAAGCGTTTACTGTGCCTACAATTGCGAGTATTGTTCACACAGCAAAAAGAAAAAAAAAATTAAAATAAAAAAATCAAACAATTTTAATTTAA